CGCCGCTTAGAGCTTTAAGTGGCAAAGTTCTGAGCAGCTCTGACACTGCGTCCGTCACCCTGACACGTAAGTTGAAAAGTCCCATGTGCCTGTAATTTCACCAGTATCTTCAAAACCGAAACATTACTGCTTGGCGACAGTAATTCCCTGGGTGAACTCTCCAAGGAGCTCTACTGCTGATATATGTCCCCTTCTAGACTTCATATCGGGATTTTAAAGTTAGACAACTATCCATTTTAATTTTTCTCCTATCGTCGAACAACCCTATGGTTTTCGTAACAATTCATCATCACTTTCATGAGAAACTTTAACTACCTTTACTTACATTATACAGAGGAAAATCTATTTATTTATCAGAAAGACAAAATGGACCTAAACCTGCGTTTAGTAACTAAGTAGCATTGCTCAGCCGTGTAGGAGAATGGTGGCTTCTCCATTGTATACATTCATGTATTAATGACTTTAAATTCTAAGTTGTACCTACATCAAAATGAAACTTGGACATCGACTTGCAACTTTTCGAAAAAGCATTAGTTAGAGAGGCCTAAACTATCTCGCTAGAAGAGCCCCGTGTCTACCAGTGGAACGTATATTGTTAATGATGATTAATAACTTATTAATATTAGCTACAAAAACTAAGCAGTTTAATTACTTAACAAGCATTCCAAGAGAACTAAAAATATGATTAGTGAAATTCGAGATAAAAAGTGCAACAAAAAGAGTAGCCATTATGAAAAAAATATTTAAAGAAAAATGTGAAAAGGCTGAAAAACATGAGTGTTTTTTTTATATTGTACTTTACTTATGTGTAGTTACGTACAAATATCATATTATAAAAAAAAAGATTAAGAAAAAAGTGATTTTTTTTATCCTAGTGGCAAAGTTTCATATATTTTATCATTCATGACGTTTTTTATATCATTCATGACGTAAGAGAGTAAGAGAGAGTTTCACTGTTACAAATAGGTAGGCAAATAAAAACAAACTAAAATAAATTAACGTACTTAAAACAGCAAGAGTAGCAACAGTATTAACAGGTTATAAAACGAACATGACAAAATGATGACGATTGACAGTGACAGTTTATTGTTTACATTTTTAATCTTGAATTCTACATGAACATGAACAACAATTATTTATATATAATTTTACACTTGCATACCTTTTGTTACACGCGAGGAGGCAAAGGAGGTTGTTAATAACAACCTAGACATAATATCTCATGTATACGTCTGTGGAGGAACACAATCTCTGCTTATTAAAATGGGAGACAGGCATGATAGTGTGTATGTGAAAACCTACCTAGTAGGTAGTAGTACTAGTAGTAGATAGACTACATAAGAATTTAAAGGAATGTCAAACAATATTAGGAGTAAACTATAATACTTACTTCTTATCACTATAATGTCATTATCATTTATCTGTTGCATTATTTACAGTGCATTACAATTATTGTCTAATTTCCAGATACATATAAGTAGGCAACATACCGTCAGTGGTCATCGTCATCGATTACAACATATTTTATCTCTCAGGGACGTACTCAGAGAATGAGGTACCTATGCCACGGTTTGTATAAAATTTTCGTAAGACAGCTAAATGTGGTGCGGATGTGTTAGTTGTCTGGAAATTCATACTTCTGAGTGCAACACAATAGTAGTTTTCTTTACATTTTCTCAGATCATGCTTTTGTACCAACAAAATACAAAGTTTATTCAATGTAAAAGTGCAGGTAAACCAGAGGATTTTTTATATGTTTCATCAAAGTTATAATTTTCAGAATTAATGAGCTGTAGCTATAGTTATAGAAGTAGCCCACTATTGAGCAAAGAGCATTGGCGGTGACTCTGTTATCTGAGCGTCCTTTGAAGCGCCGCCACTTCCTACGCGATGACCCGCCGTTATCGGCTGCGCCCGCGCTGTTGCAGCGGACACGTTGCGCTCCGCCAAACGCCGAACAGACTGCCCTCTTTACTAGTGCATGGAATTTGGTTATTCTCTTATAGGTACCTATTCTTGTGGGTAACAACACAGCTTCTACTATTTTGTAGAGAACCTAATAAATAAGTACTTAGTAACAAGTATGCCTTGAGCGAATTTTCGTAAAACGTTTTTGTCCAACTCCATAATGCAATTCACAAGATTAGTAACTATACAACAAAACAAACAATGTGCGTCTATTATTTTATTTCTAAGGCTTTGATTTACGAGCTTCCATATTTACTTAACGAACACAATGGGGTGCGTCATTGAATCGGAATGCCGACTCTGCTGATCGAACGCTGTCAAGTAAATCCATTGTGAACGGACTTACTGTACAAAATGCTATAAAAAGTTTTGTTAGCTATCTAAGGTATGAATTTCACTTATTATTACTTATACGGTAACAATATTTTTTTACCAATGTCCTGAGTACTAGGAGATACTCACGACTACCCATTTCATTTATACAGGATACATCACTTAGTGAGTGATAACAATTCATCACAAGGTGGCAGCGCAAATGCATCACTGGGCGCAGCAGGTCAAAAGGCAAGGAATGCTATGCGCCGATAAATTGAGATTTTACAGTGACATAGAGGCATTGTGGTTGCAGGCAAAAGCACTGGCAGTGTTATTCCCGACTGTCTTGCGAACAGTGTACATGTTTATATGCAATTGAATATCACCAAGCTTCATAAATATTTGATATTATTATGGATGTGTTGTTGAATTCCTGTTTCTTCTAGAATATATAGATAAAAAGAATTTAATGACACGCCCTCCAAAAACCGTATAACACCTACATTAAACAAACGTTTGATATGGCATTTTAAATGGAAGAAAGTGTCTGTTTTGACAGACTACAATGATTCATCTCCTCGGAGCAGAAGTCAGCCAGTCCGTTTAATATTACATATGCGTAGGTATGCTGTTTCTCGAAGTACCTATTCATATATATTAAAACAGGACAGTTGACACCATGAAATACTTGTTTCTGATAAATAACATAAATTCATTTTCTTATCCCATGATATTGGAACACTTCAGACTCACAGTAACTTATTCGCTGTCGAGTACTTGCATTTGAAGTTAGACTCACTTGTCTACTTTTAGTCTAAGATTTATAGATATGTACGTCGTGAGCTTACACATGCCGTGAATAAATAGCCGAAGCTCTATAAGCAGCGCAGACTGCTCGAATCTGCGCGATGCAGTAGTTACTAAAAATATCCTTTGCGAATCTGTACCTACTCACTGCATATAGGGAGTTATCATATGTGGACAACTATTCGTATCATGTTATTAGTACCTATCATGGTTCAGAAAACATCTAAAAAAAATTTAAGTATTTAGCTGGATGCAAGTAGTTCATATACCTACCTATCTTTGCCGTCGATAACACACACTCTTGTCTCAATTTCAACTCGTTAACAGTTGTTCGTAGGTCCAATAACTAATAATATCCTTTTATCACGTCGCCAGGCCCCATCCGGCCATCAAACAACGCTGTCGACGGCTTGTCAACATCTGTTGTCCCAATTTAAAACGATCTAACAGCGCCCGAGTACGTGTTATAGCGGTAATTTATAAACAACGCTAGGGGAGCCCGAACAGAAACTAGGAAAATCCCGTAACTGGCATTGAGATAATACTTAGAACTTTAATGCTTTTTGCTCTTGCTACGTTCACATGATTATTGTAACGTTTGCAACAAAAACTGTTTGCATGATTTTGCAATCCAAACTATATACAAAATACCTTTTTCAATAATAAAATTAGTAATTTTGGAAAACAGGCCAAATTAGCGACAAAGATTTCTTTATTCTAATTACGACCCTGTTTAAACGTTAAAATTATAATGCATCCCGGATAGTGGTGAAAGGAAGCGACACGGAAGCATGACTCACTGCCACTTCCTCTGAGTACTAATAAAACGTCCACGTTTTCATTGCTTGTTTTATGTTCACTCCCCTGTAGGTAAAATTTATGTACCCAAGTATGTAGCCTTCATTAATTCTTACACTTTTGTAAGACGACGTAAGAACTATGTATTTAATTAAATACGCAATAAAAAAAATATTGTAGAAAAAATCGTAAGGTGCACAATAAACTGAAATCACTTCCAGAAGAACTATGAAACGAACATATCCAAAACTTTTGACATTGATTCGTCGTAACGATTTGGTCACGAAATTAATTGATTAATTCTTTTGTGGATTGAATTGAAACCTGCTGCTTAGTGTTGTATTAATTGCTGTGTAGTTTACTTACTTGTATAATCGAATGACTCTTTGCTGTGTTAGTGGTAATGGTAAGCCTTATTGACCAAAAATTCGATTGTGCAAGTGATTTGGAGAAATTACGTTTAATTTAAAATATTAATAATTGTCTATACTTGATCTTGCTCCATAAATATTACGTTTGTGATGAAATTTTGTTTATTGAATTTTCTACTCATCTGCAAGTAGGAAAGTGTTAGTAGGTAATTTACTTTTTTGTTATTTCAGAAAAATTTGTAGCCTTGTAGTTTCATTATTATAAATTGTCTAAAAGTAATTTCATTTAAGTTATTGTTGCTATTTTATATGCAATTAAGTACGTTCAGGTGTTTTTTAATTGCTTTTTAATTATATTATTCAATAGCTTAACTTCTTGTTATATGTAGCTAGTTGTAAATGAGAAATTATTGAACTTGTCAAAATTGTCAAATCAGCAAGTTGCAGTGTCATGTGCAGCCATCCAGGCTTCAAACATTCCTTAGACAAGTCTTGTAGCGGTTTACTTGTACCAGCTAACTGCAGCACTTACAACATTTATATGTATAGACTTTTTACCTACTGATGCTGTTTAGGCTAGTTTGCAATAATGGTACAGTTTTTACTTGTCAAATTTACCAAATTGCAAACTAGTTTTGCAAGTCATGTTTGCGTTTGACTCAATCTCAATGCCCCTTTTGTTTTAAATAAGAGGGAGTGCAGAAAAAACAATCATCATGTAGTAAACATTCGTATTTATAATATAATGTTGTCGTTTTATTTACAAATAAATACAAATTCAGTTAATAAATAAATGGTAAATTATCTACAGCTTAATAAGTATGTTTTATATTTCATTTCTTAATTTCTTTTTTATTGGATATTCACAATCCAAAATACTAGTAACAAAACTGTTTTGTATATGACACGTTACGGTCTCAAGAAAATTTGAGACTTTCGACGTTCGGGCGACACGTTCACGTACATTCACACTATACAACTATATTTACAAGGTACTCGTAGACGATTCACTCAGCGACGCGAGGCGCTCGTCCAACGGCCCCGCGTCGCGCACAGCACACTCGGACCAGGCACAGCGATCACTGAGTCCACCCCCGCGCGGTCCGAAGCACTCCGCTCGCCAATAAATATTTGTACAACGCAGACGCGTGCGGCTCGCGGCTCTGGCGCGGAGGGCGCGGGCGGCGCGCGGCGGGACTAGATAATACTGGAGAGCCGCGGCGGGGGCTCGGGGCAGCGGCAGCCGGAGCGGCGGCAGCGCGCGTACAGCGCCTGCCCCGCGGCCGCGCAGCCGCGCAGCGGCCAGTACAGCCACAGGCACGGCAGCGCCAGCGACAGCGCGCCCACGCAGGCCAGCCGCGGGCCGCAGGCGCACGGCTCGCCGGCCTCCTCCTCGCCGCTCCCGCAGTGGTAGAACAGCGCCTTGACGCAGCACATGCACGACGCGTAGTCCACGCACGCCTCGGCGCTGCACAGGCACGAGTCGCACAGCCAGTGCGACGGCAGCGGCCGCGGCCGCGCGCACTGCTCGCAGCGGCACAGGCCGCACGTCTTGCACACGATCGAGTCGGCCGCGAGGGCGCCGGCGCGCCGCTTATCGGCCGCGGCGGCCGGCTGCGTCGTCACCGGCTTGAGAGGCTGCGCCGCGGCGTGGGCCGCCGGCGGGGCGGCGTGCGCCCGCCGCGGAGCCTCGACGTAGGCGTTGCGCTCTCGTTCGGCCTCGGGTCGCGGCCGCAGCAGCGATACGGTGGGCTGGCGCGCGCCCGTCGGCCTGTGGACGCGCGCCGCCGGCTTGGGCGGCCGGGGCGGCGCCGCCGGCCCGCCATACTCATCCATCGAGTCCGGCTAACGGCTCTCCGGGCCGTCGCCTTCCTGTTCCCTCATCGTCCCGACCTGCCGACAAAGACGCGAGGCGTTCAAAGATGGCTGCCTTCGAGTAGCAACGACCACTAGCTGCACCGACGTACGGTTTATATCTATGAAACCTATATAGTCGATATGGTTTTTACAGCACAACGTCATCTCACTCATTCCAATCACCCGCATTACCATACAATATGAACTTCCGACGTGGATCTTACATATCTTCGCATCAAAACGCTAAACGGTAGAAATATAGCGCAAGGAAATAAAGTTCCATCGTATTGATTTTAGCAGTGTTTTGTTGCAATTCTAAATATTGATACTGGTCCGTTATGATCTAAAAAATTTATTTATTAAATCTCTATGCCCCGTTTCTTGTAAACAAGAAACTTGTCCTAAATAGAGATTAAAATCAATATGTGTTTATATAATACAATTTATATATGTACATATTTAACGCTGTAATCATAAATATATTTGTTATTTTTTAATTTTCATCACATTTCTTGGAGAAAATATTTTATGCTTTCATCTCTACAGTAATCGAACTGGAATTTCGCTATTAATTGCGATTAATGCGCTTGGGACCGCAATAAAGGGCTTTAGACGAAATATTCGAAAACAAAAACTTCAACATTTTTAGTTTTGTTTTGTTGTGATAGCAAACCTAGTCATTGCGGCCTATAACCAGGTCTACCCAAAAGACTCGTTAAGTGGTTTCGCAATATCATTTTTGTATCGGCGAGTACGCCGACTATACATTTAGTGAATAATGCGAGATTAAAAAAATTATAGACTTGACCGTCTACCAGTAATTTGTAAAGTTTGTAACGTGTCCAAGTTGAAGTAAAATTGAAAGGGAGTTATTACTACCTACTTATTGAAAATACGAACATAATGGACGTTATTCCAATGAATAAGTAGATTATTTGATTGATACTATTTTAACGGGCTACCTGTTACAAATGCCCAAACCATGCTCCAACTGTATACTTTGATTGTAACAGACAAAGTAAAAAAATATATATCTAATCCAGGAAAATCGAAAGTACGGCAATTAAAGATCCAAAACTGATGTTCGAACTGAAAGTTGTCTTCTAACACCAATAGTAAAGTGCTTCCCACAAATTTCATTCTGGATTGTAGTATCTGGCATTTACATCACAATATCCAGCATAAGTCCTTTTTGTAAACTATATTTGCTATATAAAAGTATGTCTGCAAGTCAAATTAAGATTTGATATTTAATACATTCGAAGACACTTAATGAATATTTGGTGTGAATTATGAACCCAAATTTTATTTAATATTTTCTTATAGCTGTTATATTATTTGTCACAAACGTATCTAATAGCAGCTAGCTAAAGGAACGCAGTTATTGAATTTCAAGAGCAGCATAAACATGAAATTCTTCCATAATATCTCTAGGTACGGATTATTTTGAGAAACAACATGCGGCATTCAGAGTTCGGTACGCGACAGTGTTGCTTCAATAAGAAAGCTTAATGTTGTAGGTACCATTGTAATGTTAAATTTTGCACCACAATGAGTCGTAGGGTCAGCTTCATTCTGTTTTTACGACTTCCTGTTATTCCGAATAATATCATTACTTGATTGAATTATTGTCTAGCATGCTACGTCATATCATTAATTTCCACTATTTATGGCGGCAGAATCTTAACTTTTGAGTGATGTCTCCTGTTGTCAATTCGTTTCAGAAGCATTATATTCTATTTTACCTACGATTGATATCAATAACCTCTGTATTTGTTTTCGTATTTATGATCTCAATTACGAATTTTCTGGTAATCAACAAATTGTTTTGGCTTTAAATTCAATTATGATTTGAGTTGAGAGACGGCTTGCTTACAATCTTTAATGTTCCAGTTTTTTCGTTTAATAAAACACAATTTGCTCATTAGGCGCTTTACTCTTTGTTGTTAAACATCTGTTATCTAGTAGATTATCTATTATTAAAGATTTATCTCCGATGCTCTCTCTTAAAATTGTCTTATTGCACCCCATCAGCTACCTAAGTCGTATGCGCAGTTTCAAATTTGGATCTGGATATATATTTGCACTCGTATGTATAATATTCAGTGCAATAGTTTCAGTTTAAACTGCGAATAATATTCATTATTTTGTTTGTCTATATTTATTCCTTATCAGTAGAGTCCGCTACGAGATATTAAAAGTTTATGAAGCCATTGTTTACAATTTGTTTATCTCAGCTCAGTTATCAAGTTATTGTCGAAATACATATGACTGTTGCTATAATAAATGTCGATGTGTTGTGAATTAATATTTTTCGCATTATGCTGTGCTCTACAAGTGTAATTCTGGTCATTTTTTACGTGCTGATTACCGGCGATATGTTGGGTAATGCACGTTTTCAAGTTTTGCAATTCCAAAATGTTAACATATTTTATGACTTTACAAAAATAGCTTAAGATTTTTAATCATGTTTAGTGCCTAAGTGAGGTTTTGAAATGTACCATGGGATAAATGAAAGTATTTTGGTGGGAACTGGTTAGTTGTGAACGCTCTCGGTTTGAGCGTGCTGCACGTGTGCCGGTCACCAGGCGGCGCGCAGAGCGAAGCGTCAACCTAGCTACTCGTCATTCATGGGAGCTCGTTATCTTTACAATCCTTCTAAAGCCTAGCATTTTACCCATAAAACCCGGAATTTACGTAGTCTTACACATCCTAGTACGAGATTGTCGGGTGGGCGAGATCTTCCACGTCAGAATGCCACATCTACTTACGAAGTGGACGTTCCACGGTCACACGTCTCCTACACACATCGCTACACAAGGACACTCAGGCCGTATGGCCCCACACACAACACTTATGAGCTCCTTAATGCCATTCGGGAGGCCGATCGTGCCACTCCAAAACCGCGCCGGAAGATTCACTGACACACAAAAATACGGCAGAACCACCGAATTTCGGTCGCGCAAATCCACAGGAAGGTTCATAAGACCGGCGCGGTCCGGAGCGGCACCTGGCGCGGGCGGGGGGCGGCCCACGCACCGGCCTCGATTCTCGTCCGCCCGCCGCGCGGTTATCACTGCAATATGGCCGCTACTCACTTCCTCGCTGAAGTTCTTCGTTGATTTCTACTTCTAATCTCGACGACGGCGATTTTCTTAACCGTTCCGAACTCGTGCGGATTCACTGCACTTATTCTTATACACATTTTAATGGAAAACCGGGAGCGCTAGCGCTACGCTCCGACGAAACGACCGTTCCGTTCGTTGGCACATTCCGCACTGGCGTCGGCCACGGGCGCGGGTCGGCGGGAGAGGCCGCGGTCCCTCCGCCGCGCCTCATGCCGCCCGCGCCTCGCCTTTTTATGAATGGAAGGCGGCCATACTGAATGAACTGCGTACACGGAGCGGTTGGCCGCTATTTTCGCGGGCGAGCGGCATTAGGGGTCCGGGGGGCGGAGGCCGGAAGCGGGCTGTAAGCGCTCGCGGTGCCAAATTTTGCGGCGCGGGCGGCGGCAACGGATGTGCTCGTTTACCAAGCTTCCTGCGAGATCCCCCCGCGCAGCCGCATCCGGGAATTGGGTTTCCGGTCGGCGAGAGTCGCGCCATCGGGATGCCGCCCACTTTTATTCTGCAACGACATGTGCACTCTAATTTTGCAGCATTGTGATGCAGAAATCATGAATGACGCTTTCGTCATTATGCGGAAAGCCATGGTGTCGTAAACGAGGTCGAAACATAGTCTGGTTTTTATAGCAGTCTTTACACGTCCTCTGCGCCAGTTTAACGAACTGTACATTTTCACGGGCACGATGCATCATTACTACACTACAACATGGCTAGATTTTTGGCAGCGCGATGGGGAGAGTCGCGCAGACGACAACGATGGCATCTCTTATCGCGAGCGCGGTAATTTTCGCAAGGTTGCAGCGACAATAAGCGCGTTGAGTACGCAACGTCTCTGTGTCAAGGACGAGCGATAACGCTACGCCATACGACGACGTAGTCTGACATATTCGTACTGCTGTCCCTTCACAATTCGAAAAAATCTGTACCACAAACGCTATACTTGGTTTATATACGTGACTGTTCTCTTCACTTCATGGGCTTAGTGATTTTTTTCTAAAACACTACTTAATCCATGTAGGTGTTTTAATGATTTTCTTGCATTGTTGACGTGTCGATATCACACTGTGAAGGATTGTCCTTCATTGTTAGATATTGCGAATAAAGTTTCTGAGAAAGAAATAAGACTGAAATCAATATTTACTACATTTTCCATTAGTTGTTTACTTGTACCGGCGTTTTTGTCTTCAGATACGTCTTGTTGTAGAAAGTTAATGGTAAAACTTCGAAGAAGGTAAGCTTAAATATTCCCTTTTGGTAAAGAAAAATGGATTAGTGTACAGATCTCGCAACTTGTACTAGTTTCAAAAAGTTCTGCATTCCAAAATGATTGCTACAAATATGACTCGTATAACTGATTCGAAATAAACTTGTAAATTTTTGTTTTTAATATTACTGTAATGTCAGAATATAAATAAGTAATTATTTCCTAATTTAAAACAAAAGCTCGAACGTGATCGTCCACATCCGTCAATGGAGAAGGGTCGAAAGAAGGGTCTTTAAAAAAAATTCTACCTGGGACCCGAGTTGGTTCATTGGCTTTAATATCCGTTGTAAGATCGCCCACATTCATACGTTTCTGCACAGTGCCATTCTTGGTATGATCTTTAAATGTTCAATGAAATTATTTATGAAGCAAGGCCGTTTATAGACATTTTTTATTTTTCTTACATCTGCCGCTGAATGTGTCTGTCTACTAATCATAAGTATCTAAAGGGTTTGCTAATTGTTACGCTTGTACTTTTTATTACAACGTGCGAATTTTAAAGAAAATAATTTTCTACGTTAATATAGAGTTCAACGGCAGTTAATTCTGAAAAATGTTTGAAATATGAAACCCACTTTCCTCGCAGATTTTTGTTGTTCAAACATGTGCACATTAATTTCGCTGATGTCCATTGTTTTGTCATCTTCATGTTCCAGGAAGCGTATAATTGAATTCATGGGTAGTTACGAAATGTGAAGCCAATCAAGGAAGAACAAACACAACTGACAATGGGTGGCCTAAATAGGTGCAGTGTGAAATCGACACTGCCGCCTTCTCGGTCGGACGAATGGATTCACTTCAAGGAATAACCTGAACACCTTCCATTATGGAATCTTCATACAATGAGCTTAACAAGGAATGCGGTTTCGCGATAAATAGATCCAGTTACTTTTTGTCGCCTTATACGCGAAATCATAATTGTTCTTCATCTGTCACCTACACCAGCTTGAATTTCTGATAAGTTTCAATTTGTAACGCGTTATTTTAAGTTTATGATAATAATAGCTGTTATTCCTATAATTACAAATTGAGTGTTCTCGAAGTGTCGGCGTTATAATCTGTGGCCCACTCGATAGAAATCAGGTTTCGTTTATTATTCTGGAGGCGGTACGAGTCGTTCGAAGCGGAAGCCGCCTTCGTCTCAACCCGCACTTTCCATCCGCCATCGCCTGCACCAATGCAGCCAGAATGATTTTATCTGGCTTATAACTCTACGTATAACATTATGCCTAAAGTATAACATGTATGACATTTCATATTACTTTGAAATACGTTACTTCTTTCGAGACAAACTAGAGTTTTCATTTTGTAACAGCTTTTTACTTGTTACGTAAGTTCTTAGGAATTTATTAATATGTGGCGTCGTATTTTGGTAAATTTCTCGTTATTATTCGCTTTACTATCCGATGTCGGGTCTTAAAAGCATATGAGCTCTTTGCTGCGCTTGTCGTTATCTCCCGTTGTCAATTGTTTTCTGAAAATATTCGTTATCTTTGAACTTCCTTTTAAAGTCATTGTTCTTATCGTAATGGGCTTTTCGATAAATCTCTATTTATTGCGACACAACTTAGAACATTGTATGCGTGAAATATAAATGAAAAGTCTATAGGTACTTATTATGAAATTACTAGTCTAGTTAAATAACAGCGATAAATTGTGGTATTGTTTTGAACATTAGTTATCATTTGCGAGTTTAAGTGCTGATAAACAGCATATTTAAGAGTTGTTTGTCTACTGTAGTAATATTGTACAGAAGTTGTGTGATAACTGTAGTAGAGTACTTACAAACTGAGGACGCGTTGAAAAATAATACCGGCTGTTTGCCGGAGATAAAGGAAACTTGAATGAGAGCATTTGGAACGACCCGCGCGTTTCGCGCGTATTTGCGTATTCCACGGCGCCTACGCATTTACTGGGCAAGTGTTCAAAATTTTCATTTGGCTTTAAATTGCATTTCTTGTTTATCGACTCACTACGTATCTAAGTGATTATAATCAGTAACGCGATGTTAAATTATAATAATTTGTTAGTGTTCGGATCCAAAAAGTTGGGAACATAGAAGATGGCATGGAATTACGAGTGCTTCATGGTCCATCGCTGAACAAACGCCCATCTCTTGAAGAATATAACAATTGAAAAATTGAGAATGAAGAATGAATGAATGAGACCTCTGAACGATTTTTTATTGCTATACAGTCGCAGAGCTTTGGCACATTATCTTGGTTCCTAATAATATTGTCGTGTTTCGAGTATACGTACGAAAATGATCAATCAGAAGCTATTACATAAGAAGAAGATAAACGATAGTAACTAGTTTGTCATAAGCAACAATTTTAATTAGCCGTTTAATAAAACGTGTTGCGTAATAACCAAAAGATAGAATGAAGGACCTCTTTGAATGGCTGTCGCGCTCGACTCGGCCCATTCATGACACGCACTCATACTCAATGGTGACCTTAGCCGAACCCAAGCGTGTGTTATTTAGCAAGCAAACGTCGCGCTTACGTGTGTGAAGTTGCGAATATTAGATTTCTTCGGCTTCGAACTTCGGCGGTGCTTATTGCTGCTCTATTTCTGAAGTGTAAGTTAACGACCGCGTTCATTTCATATTTGGCAGTCGTCAGAAGTGGAAGGCGTTGTGTGTTTCTTGTTTTAATTGAAGGCAATTACATAAATTCCACGTAGCGGTCGAGCTGGGGCGTGCAAGGGAGAGGTGCGGGCGGGGCGCGGTGAGGCGAGGCGGTCGACCTTCCGTGAGGCCGTCCGCCGCGTCCGCCACTCCACCGCTCTGCGTCGCAGCCGGCCCTCCGTGCCACAGTGCTTCGTGACGGTTATTATGGCTCCCGACTGGAGTACGACCAGGAAACAACTTTGTTCAGCCCGAGTGTTGCCACTTTGTCCATATGCCTGAAGAATCCTAATAGTCCGCACCGAATTTGTGGTATCGTTTATAACTTCCTCTTTCCTGTGCTATTCTTGAAACTACACCAGGAACTTTATCCAGTACGAGTTTGGAGTAGGTGTCCAGTCTATAATGATGTATAAAAATCCACGACAGATTAAACTGACGCAACTGCTTAAATCCGTTTCTTAAACGAAATCTGTTAAACTTATTATTAACGCTATAACGGCAAAGACTTGTTAATAAAACTTATTGATCATTTTCAAAGTAATAACAGTCATGTCTTCTTCCAAGTTATTTGATATATTTTTATATGTATTCCAATAATATGCGAATTACCTACCTAATCAGCTATAAGCATTCTGAATATGGCCATTAATGGCTTTAATGAGCTTTCGGGGTTGAAGCATAAATTTGGAATTCTTCTAACAAATATGTACATAATCTTTTCCTGTTTTGGAAAAGATTCCGGATATCGCGGAAAGTTATTCATAGTATCAGCGAAGATGAGTGCATAGTTTATCGTAGTCTACCTGTCAGAATAGTCCTCAAGTGATGTTGAATGTGTAATAACCATTATACCATAATACCATTTATGAAAAATACAGTCTAGTTTTCGTAGATGGTTATATCTAGGGTGCACGAAAGAACCCTTCTCGCACTTCGTACCATTCTTTCCTGCAGCTAAGTTCGGCGCAGCCTGGGCAACAATCGCGAGTACCTTATTTATGTATGCCGATTGACAAATC